AAATAATAAAGCAGGGCACATCAGGGCGCAATGTGTTAACTTATATCACAAAGAAAAATATCAGTAAACTTACATGCTTGCCTGTCTTGTTTTGGTGGGCCTGCCGGTCTCCTTGGTTGCCTGTCTTGTTTTGGTAGGCCTGTCGGTCTCCCAGTGCATGTGGAAGGGAAGCCATTACACATCTGAGGGTTAACTATAAAACGGTACCAACGGTGCATATATTAAATAAGTATGTTGAATACGAATATACTGTACAGTCATACCAACACTCTCCCCTTAACAATAAAGTCGTTCAGCATTTCAAGACAATGAAACATAACAAATAACTAGGGATGCAGTGGATATCATATCTGGCCAGATATTGAGATTTTACTTCATTTTCTGTTACATGGCCACCCAATACTGGGTATTATTTACATAAGGTTCAGGCCTTCAAGATTTACAGTTACTGCAGGTTAGATGATTTGATTAGGTTAGATGATTTGATTAGGCTAAAAAAGCAGGGGTGGTTATCATATTTTTATTCAATGATTGATAACAGGAATGCTTGTAAACACTACTTTCAAGATTTTATATGCTTGTTTGTAAATGCAGATTTGACCATTAAACTAATGCAAGTGAGGCTTTTGCTACCAATGATGCATGTTTACTAGTGCTAGACTGTGAAGTTCTTTCCTATTATTTCAAATCAAAATTTTATAAACACCATAACTTTTTAACCAATTAAAATGATTACTTAAATTAACATTAAGTGAGGCCTGAACCTTATATACTTGAATAATACCCTGAATCTGGCTCCAGGGATATTTTTCAACTATCCAACATATCCTCAACTATCCAACATATCTGGCTGGAGGGCAAAAAGACTCTACCCTGCACACCCCTACAAAGAACTTAAAGTATGTAACATAAGAAGAAATTGCTCCTTAGGTGTTAATAGGTGAAATATGGGCAAGTAGTCGATAAACAAAATTGATACAGTCGATAAAAAAAATTGTCTAGCATGACATGTCAGAGTTGAATATCAAAGTACTTAAAGTAGGTAGTGTCAGGGAAAATTGTATCTAAATATATCAACATGAAACATGGGCACAGAATCTAGCTAGACACTTCCCTTGACAAATAAAATTGTCTGGCATTAGGCAAGATAACATTTAACAAAGTACTGAAAATTGGGCTCATTGGAGTGAATCAGTGAAATGGGTAATAATTCCAAAAACCATCAAATCCTTGCCAGGGTGTATATCTCAAATATATAAAATGTAGCCCAAAGGTGCTTGTGTGATGTTACTCTGATTGTATATCCTCACCAGGCAGGCTTGAAAAAATATACCTGGCCACGGTGGGATTCGAACCTACGACCTTTAGAATACTAGCCCAATGCTCTTCCAACTGAGCTACGCGGTCAGGTCAGTTCGAGTATGCTATATTTTGGAACTGAGTCTAGTTCCTTCGATATCAGTGTAATCTAATAATCATGATATTTGCTGTATTGGTGTAATGTACTCAGGTGAATAAGATGCTTGCAAGTGTGATGTTACTCTGAGTGTATATATATATATACACCACCTGGCCACGGTGGAAAATACGCCTGCCCGGTGTGGATATACACTCGGAGTAACACCATAACATCACACAAGCATATAAAACTAAATGAATTCATATAAAGTTTGAAAGTTGCCACACAACCCATCAAATTGACAACTTTTATCTAAACTGACCCACCCATATATGAATAAATATTAATAGAAACTTATGAAAGTACCAGTTAATTGGAAACAAATCGATAAATTCTCTCAAACCATGTTTACCTAGGACATACCTAGGTAGGCCTATGAGAATTGAGTAGATCAAGTAGATGCCAAGCTATATTATTTTATACAAGGAACACTTGATCTGGCAATCCGTCATATACACTAGTCTATTTGGCATTACAACAAACATAATTTGATATAAAGGCTGAGTCAAATATAAGTCTTTGTATAAAAACTAATGTATTTATATTGTCGCAGCGAATTCAAATTTTAAGACGGAACACATGCTCAAAATTCACGAATGAAGATAGTAAATATTTCCTTTCAAAATTGCTCTGTTATATAGAAAACAAAACAATATTCTTACCTGGAAGTTATTCAGTCATCCCTGATGTTCCATCTTCGCTAAAATATACCATCTTCCAGTAAAATACTATAAATCTTTCGATCGAGCAGGTAGAGTCCATTCCAATAAAATAGAACAGTATAACAAATTATTAGAAAACTTATGTCTTAAGCATAATGTTACCCTCATAAAAAACAATAACATAGATGAGTCTCGACTAAATGGCTCAAAACTGCACCTAAACCGATTTGGTGATATAGCACTTGGCAGTGCTTTCTGCTCTTATCTGAGATCACTTAGAGTTAGAGCTAGAACCCCTGGTACTCTGCAGGGTTCTGTAGATAGTATGAATGACCATTTTTTATCCAAAGTTTATGGTCATCGGGCCAGAGAGTGGACAATTCACCTGAACCGTGTCAGGCGAATGATGACATGATACCTAGTGTAGGTAATTCTAATAATGTAAGCAGCGATTTTCACACCTGTCTCAGCTCTATCCCTAAAGAAAGAGGCTTTAAAATGGCTTTTCTAAATGTTGTTAGCTTACCCAAAAAAATTGATGAAATAAGATATTCAATGTCAAGCAAGAACATTGACTTAATTGCTTTTAATGAGACTCGACTTGATTCAAGTATAAGTGATAATATACTTCACTTGAATGATTATGATATAATTAGGAAAGACAGATCAAGAAATGGGGGTGGAGTATGTATCTACTTGCGTAGCTCCATAAACTACAACATAAGGAATGATCTGATTCCCACTGAACTAGAGGCTGTTTGCATAGAAATTATCAAACCACATTGCAAACCATTTCTAGTCACAACAGTCTATAGACCACCCAATGCATCAGCAGATTTCTTTGAGCATTTTGAAAACTTAATCAAAACTTTCGATGATGAAAATAAAGAATTCTATATTCTTGGTGATTTAAATTGTGATATGTTAAAGACAGGTAATGAAAATATGCCGATAAAGAAAATTAAATCTTTATATGAATTGTATCAATTGTCACAATTAATTCAGGAAGCTACCCGAGTAACTATGACAACCTCCACCCTTATTGACCACATAATTACTAATACTCCAGAAAAAATTTCTGATTCTGGTGTTATCCATACTGGAATAAGTGACCATAGCTTAGTTTTTGCAATTAGAAAGATCTCTATTATTAAGAAACTAGAAAACACAATTGAAATTAGAAATATGAAGAAATTTGATACCCAAAAATTTGTTGAGGATCTGATGCAACAACAGTGGGAAAATGTGTATTTTTTCGCTGAAACTCCAAATGCAAAGTGGGAAATTTGGAAAATGCTATTCTTAGAAGTTTTAGACAAACATGCACCCCTTCAAAACAAAAAGATCAGAACAAGACGAGTCCCTTGGATTACAAGTTCCATAAAAGAAATTATTAATACAAGGGACAAGCTTAAAAGAAAAGCCATTATTACGAACCTCGAAAATGATTGGTTAAGTTATCAAAGAACTAGGAATAAAGTAAATATAGAACTAAGAAATGCCAAAAAAGATTACTATTCCACGAAAATTGCTGGTGATAAGTCCAATCCTAAGGAAGCTT